ATTTATAAATAATTTATAATTAAAATAATTAAATAAATAATAATTTATTATTTATTAATTTAATTTCTCTATTTTATTAGAAGAATGTAATTCAATAGGAAATAGTATATGAAATTTTTTTAGAAATTTTGAAAACAAGAATTTTTATGAAATTTTATATACTTATTTTTATTTATAAAATATTATATATTTATTTTTATTTATAAAATATTTATCATTTGCATATTTATCTATTACAGATGCTATTTTTTTTTAATCATTTTTATATATGTTTATATAATGTAATATAAATATATTTATCTCTTACAAGAATCATTTTGCAATACATTTTTCAATAATTTTTTTAATCCTTCTATTATGAGCAATGTGAAAATCGTATTTTATGTAAATATTTATCATCATCTTATCATCATCTATTATTGAATTTATTGGTATGAGATGATATGCATTTGATTATGAAATCATGAAAATATGAACGATACAATAATTCACTAATCGCGAAAATAAATGAAGTGCATTTAAATCAAATGAATTTTATACGATAAACGATTTTTTTGCAGATCATAGCAACATTGCGATATTATATATGTATATATAATAATAATGATCTTTGACAGTTGAGCTTTGATAGCTCAATTAAGCTTAAAATTCAAATGATTTAATATTTTCAATATTTTCATATTAAAGAATTTATATTTTTGAAGTCAGAATAAATAGTCAAAGTAAAAATTAATGATTAGTTACATTTCATGAGCATTATTAAAAAATTATTTTTGATATGAGAAAATATAATTTCATTTATTGATTATTAATTTTCATCTTGTCTTTATTCTTTTTCTATTTTCTCTATTCTTTATTATTTTCTCTTTTTGTTTTTACATGCTATTGGCTACTGATCACAACAAAATACAGATCAATTGAATATTTTCATTCTTTCTTTTTTAAAAATAAATATAAAAAATATAAATATTATTTTATTACATTTTTGATTTTGAAATATATAAATTTTACAATATATATATATACAATAATACAATATATATATATAATAATACAATATATATATAATATATATTTGTCGATAAAATAATATATGATGCGAGTATTTGACATAAAATATTATTGTAAGAATGGAATTTAAACAAATGAAAATCTAACCCGATAATAAAGGAACTGAAAAAGAATTATGAACTATTTTAAATGTAAAGAAGTGACACTAAATACTTTGTGTCTTTAAATTTTGCGGCATTAGATTTTGTTCAAAAATTGATCGAATTTAAACATTATTTTATTAAAAGATTTCTATCCTCTAATAGATATTCAATATTAACAATATTTTCAAATTTACAGATTTTTTTATAAATTTATTATTTCTTCTAAGATAAATAATTGTGCGGATTTTTTCAGATTCATAGAAATATATCTAATAAGAATAATTTTTTACTTAACAATTTATTTATATTATTGATTTTAATAAATTATAATTAAATTCAATATAATTCTAAGATTCATCTTCATTCTTTTAAATTCCATTCTATAACAATTATAATAAAATTTTAAATTTTTTATACAAGTTATGTCAATTATATAATGTGAAATAACGTGAAGTTTCTTTTCTACGTTTCAGTTATTCTATGTTTATCTCGTTAAGTTTATGTTTATATCACAATGAGGGCGAGTGTGTAGCCAAAATCTCAAAATTTTAACTTTGATATTAATCAAATATAAATACTTATCTAAAAATTTTATTCACTTCATTATTATATTATTGCGATTGTAAATTAATCTGAAAAATAATATATCAATTTTGTTATTTATTATTATTATTATCTCTTAAACAAAAATTGAACGCAACGAAGTAAGCCAATTTTACATGATTACGTCATATTTAATATATAGGAAAGTGAAATAGTATTCGATATGTTATAATTCTCAATCATTTTTCTTGAACAGTATGTATTTAAATAGAATTAAATAGAATAGTATCTATATTTTATATTTAAATATATTTTAATAATTAAAATTATAAATTAAATTATAAATATGATATATCTGATATACCATATATTTAAATGTTAAAATAATGTTAAAATATATTTTTATTGTTTTTTTTTTTAGTTTGATGGAGATTTTTCGTATTATTAAACGTTATTGGGTTATAACTTCTATCCCTTTTTTTACTGCTACTATTATTATCTTAGATTTAAATCGTACTCGAAATTGGAAAAAACAATTAAGTGCACAGAAAAAATTAGAATTAGAAAATTGAAATGGCATTCTTAAAAACATCACTTATAACACAATATAGTTTGAGTGTTGCTGGATTTATTGGTGTATATATTTTGTCACGCTATTTATATAATTATGCTTCTGATTTAACAATGTCAAGTTATCGTGACAAATCAGCTTTATATGGAAGAGAATTAAAACCTGGAGAACCTCCGTCTTGGCCGTAATATATTAGTTATATTTCCTAAAAAAACAATTTATATATTAAAAAATGTAAAGTTCATTGTAACTATAAAAGAATAATAAACTAGTAGTAATGTAATATGTATTAATTATATAAATCATTAATTTCTTTTTAAGATAATTAATATACAACATATTGAAATATTGCATTAACAAAATGTTATTTCTAAATTTCAAATGTTTTTATTTCTTAAATAATTTTTATTGTAATTTTGGTATTTTGATATTCTAAATTATCATGAATAAATCTATGGATTTTTTATTCCAATTGATCTAATTTTTAAATTTTTAATAAATTTTTCAAAATTCTTATATTTTATATAATTAAATTAAATTTATATAAAATTTATATGAAATATATATTATCAACATTAGAGATAATGTGATATTATAATTTATAAAATTTATAATTTATATTTTTATATATTAATTATAATATAGTCAATAATATTTTTTAGCATATTTTATTTTAGTTTATTATTACATTTTCTATATTAGATATATCATAATAAATTAATAAATATTTAATTAAATA